CCCGCCCCCACCCCGGGGCCGACCTAGAGCAGCCAGCACCCAGGACGCACCCAGCACCAGACAGACTGAGGCGGAGGGCGCTTCTTACTGCAGCACTTTTATTTTCCTCACAATGACGCGCTGCTGGGGCCTAATGTTCTCACATGACAGTAGAAAACCAAAATTGGTCATTTCTGAAAGAATCGCGTACAAAAACCTTACATAAATTAAAAGGACAAAGATTTACAGGTGGAAATGCAGACCGTTTTCCAACTCAAGGCAAGTAACCGCCCAGGGGTTCTGGCAGGAACATCAACTAAGGAAAAGTGGGCCCCATGCTCGGACCCTCCACCCCACCCCGTGGAGGGCAGGGCAGTGGTAATGGGCAGGGCACGTGCCACACTCAGAGCTCCTGGAAAGAGCAGCTCCCACAGGCCAGGACCCCGCACACACGAGGCCCCGCGGGCTCCCGGGGCCACTGGATTTTTCCTGCAGAAGAAACATGTTCTCATCTCGGCCACCAAGTGACTGACGCGTGTACAGGGGTTTAAATGAAAGGTATGTACAGGGCGTTAAACATGTACCAAGGGAACAACAGGTAACTTGAATACAGGTCAACATCAGCAACCAGGCCTACAATCCAGTGCTGAGCTCAGTACAGGCTTCAAGGACAATTTCTTTGTGAAGGCGTGTTCCAGTTTCGGGGCCAGCACGAGGTGTGCATTTGCCAGGGCAAACGGAGGCTCATCCACTCGTGCAGCAAATGCTACGCATCTGCCCGCAGTCCGTTTAGAAGCACTTGCGGTGAACGATGGAGGGGCCCGACTCGTCGTACTCCTGCTTGCTGATCCACATCTGCTGGAAGGTGGACAGCGAGGCCAGGATGGAGCCGCCGATCCACACCGAGTACTTGCGTTCCGGCGGGGCGATGATCTGCAAGAGGACACGCGGCCTTAGCTCCCGCCACCATCTTCCCAACAAAGCCTGCCCAGGCCCGGCCCAGGCCCGGCCCCACGGGACTCACCTTGATCTTCATCGTGCTGGGCGCCAGGGCGGTGATCTCCTTCTGCATCCTGTCGGCGATGCCCGGGTACATGGTGGTGCCGCCAGACAGCACCGTGTTGGCGTAGAGGTCCTTCCGGATGTCCAGGTCACACTTCATGATGGAGTTGAAGGTGGTCTCGTGGATGCCGCAGGACTCCATGCCTAAGGGACAAAGCTCGGTCAGCCCGGGCCTCCGGCTGGAGGTCAAGGGCCCCGCCTTCGCCGGGCGGCGGCCACCTACCCAGGAAGGAGGGCTGGAAGAGGGCCTCTGGACACCGGAACCGCTCGTTGCCGATGGTGATCACCTGCCCGTCGGGCAGCTCGTAGCTCTTCTCCAGGGAGGAGGAGGAGGCGGCGGTGGCCATCTCCTGCTCGAAGTCCAGGGCGACGTAGCACAGCTTCTCCTTGATGTCGCGCACGATCTCCCGCTCGGCCGTGGTGGTGAAGCTGTAGCCACGCTCGGTGAGGATCTTCATGAGGTAGTCGGTCAGGTCCCGGCCGGCCAGGTCCAGGCGCAGGATGGCGTGGGGGAGGGCGTAGCCCTCATAGATGGGCACCGTGTGCGTGACCCCGTCCCCGGAGTCCATGACGATGCCCGTGGTGCGGCCAGAGGCGTACAGGGACAGCACGGCCTGGATGGCCACGTACATGGCCGGGGTGTTGAAGGCCTCGAACATGATCTGAGTCATCTTCTCCCGGTTGATCTTGGGGTTCAGGGGGGCCTCGGTGAGCAGGACGGGGTGCTCCTCGGGGGCCACGCGCAGCTCGTACGAGAGGCAAGGGCTCCCCTCAGACGCGGGCGGGGGACCCAGGGCCCCCCAATGCTCACACCCGCATGCCAGCATGCCACAAATGTGATGTGTGGAGAAAGAAAAGAAAGCAGGCAAAAACACAACGAGAAACCTTGAGACTTCAGGGAGGAAATGCCAGGAGAGGAACAGAACCCTGGAAACATCGAAAGAAATACTTGAATTTCAGAAACAAAGCTGAACAGAAAATGACTTGGGCGAAGGCGGGGAGGGAGGGCGGAGGCTCCGGCACTCACCTGGGTCATCTTCTCACGGTTGGCCTTGGGGTTCAGGGGCGCCTCGGTCAGCAGCACGGGGTGCTCCTCGGGGGCCACGCGCAGCTCGTTGTAGAAGGTGTGATGCCAGATCTTCTCCATGTCGCCCCAGTCGGTGACGATGCCGTGCTCGATGGGGTACCGCAGGGTGAGGACGCCGCGCTTGCTCTGGGCCTCGTCGCCCACGTAGCTGTCCTTCTGCCCCATGCCCACCATGACGCCCTGGTGCCGGGGGCGCCCGACGATGGACGGGAACACGGCCCTGGGGGCGTCGTCCCCAGCGAAGCCGGCCTTGCACATGCCGGAGCCATTGTCGATGACCAGGGCGGCGATCTCCTCTTCCATGGCGACCTGCGTGCAGAGGCGACAA